CAGTCTGGCACCTGAGGCAGCCGCCTCAATTCGCCACATGGTAAGGCCAGCCCTGGAAGTCTGACTCCAGCCTCTGCCTCCGCACAGTCCAGAGCAGCAGGCAGGGCTTTGCAGCACTTCCCAAGGCAATCCCCAGGTTCTCTAGTGTCCAGGGTGGGGCATGGGAAGAAGCAGGTGCGGGTGCGTTTGCTCTCCCAGTCCTGTTGCTGATCTTGCCTTTCCCTTTGGGGTTTTCTTTGTTCAGTTCCTCTCCTGCCTGGTGCAGCTGCCACCCATTCTGAGCACCACAGACATCTTATGGCTCTCCTGTTTCTGTTACCCGCTGCTAAGGTGAGTGAGTTGAGGGCATCTCCCTGGGTGTGTTTCCCTTTGCTGTGGCTTTGCCATTTGGAGCTAATATCTGCCAATGCCTCTCGGGGGTATTGTGAGAATTAGCTAATGTCCCTGAAGGCCTGTGAGCTCCTTGGCTGAAAGGGTCTTTGGAAATGTTGTGGGGTTGTTAATGCTTGTGTGTGGCTTGGCTTCATGAGCCCTGCCCTTTGTTAGGGAGCCCTTGTAAGACGTTTCCCAGGATGCTCACCTCCACCTACTATAATATGTGAAAATTGCCAATGGCCTTGTCTGTCTCAGGATTTCCCCTGTCCGTATGATGACATGGTGGCTAATGTAAGGACATGCCTTTCTTTGGAGTGTGGCTACATGCAGGGAGCAGTGGTGTGCATCTCCTGGAGCTGAAGGAGCCGTAAGGTTCTGGAGAGCTGTCCTGGTGCTATGCTGGGAGGTTTAGCGTCAGTGTCATCAGGACATGAAGTCACACTATGGCTATGATAGTGTGAGGTCAGGAAATCCTGGTGTGTCTGGTGCACAGCACCTCTGCAGGGGCGATGCTGCTCTGGCAAGGGAGGGGACTGGATAACCTAAGGGGAGCCTGTTTCATTTCCAACTTCCACCCTTTACATAGGTCCTCTCTCTGCTCCTCACTCCTTGTTACTGCAGAGGGGTGGGGGGTGATTCTCCTTTCTTCTCTTGCTCCTGTGAGCTAGGAGGCGTGTTCTTTATTCCTCCAAGTTCCCCTCCTTGCTGGTAGAGGGCAAGGAGATTTTGTCTCTTTCTACCTCCTTCCAGCTTCCCTGGTGGCTGGGAAGGTTGGAGCTGGCACTGTGTGTGGAGAGCACTCCTCATCAGGCAGAGCCAGAGGGGCTGCAGGTTGAGATCCCGATCTGACCCTGTGTCCCATTTGCTCACCTGGAGGTTAGCTGACCCCTGGCCCTTTGAATCTTCCACTTCCTGAATGTCTTCAGGCGTAGAGTTAAGAAAATAGACATATCTTGTCAGAGCACTTAGTTTAGCAGCCTGGCCAAGGCTTTCCATGCTAATGCTAGAGGTGGTGAGATTTGCTCCTCCTCTACTTCAAGGGGACCCCATTGGGACTAACCTCTCTCTCTTTCCCCAGTGTCTCTCTCCTGGGGAAGCCCCCCCACAGCTCCATCATGTCCATGGCAACCGGGAAAAATTTAACCTCCATTCCTAAAAAGGTAGGAAGCGTGCTGGGTGGGAACAGCCTTCACGTCCCACCCGAGCTCAGAGGTTATCCAGGGTTGGGGAGCAGTCTGTGCTGAGGCTCTGTGCTGAGGACGTGCTTTCCTGCTGCCCCCTTGCAAGTTCCATCCTGCTGACTTGGCTCACGGCCTCGCCATCCTGTGAGGGTGACAGGAGGAAGGGAAGCCCTAGCAGCCTGTGTCCTTTTTGGGGCTGCCAGTGGCTTGGCCAGGTCCTGGCAATGCAGCCACTTTGGGCTATCGTTGAGGCGGGGGCAAGGAGGCCCTTGCTGCTGTTCAAGCTGATGAATCTATTGTAGTGTCCCAGGAGCAGAGGAGATGGACAAAAGCCAAGAGGAAAAATTCCTAACTGTCAGGGTGGTCAAATATTGGAATAAATTGCCAAGGGAGGTGGTGGAGTCTCCCTCTCTGGAGATATTTAAGAACAGGTTAGATAGACATCTGTCAGGGATGGTGTAGATGGAGCTTGGTCCTGCCTTGAGGGCGGGGGGCTGGACTCGATGACCTCTTGAGGTCCCTTCCAGTCCTATTATTCTATGATTCTATGATTCTAAGAGGAGAGGCTGAAATGGAGTAAATGCCTCTGATTCTGGGCTAGTCTCCTGAGTGACTGCCTTGTGCTGCCCCTTTTACAGAGCTCCCTGCTGAAATTCAGCCTGCCCATCTGCTCCTGCCTCGTCTGCTTTGGATTCACACTGCACGAGTCTTGCAAAGGGATGAACGCCACCAGCCTCAACCTCACCTCTTGCTCCTCCATCATGGTGCACAGGTGAGGAACAGATCCTGCCACAACATGCACCTCCCCCTGCTGTCCCCTGCCCTCCTCCAGCTCCTTGTGCTCCCTGTGCCCCAGCACCAGTTTTCTTTGGCCTGCTTCCCTTCTCTTCTTTTTCTCATGCACGAGTCTTGCAAAGGGATGAACGCCACCAGCCTCAACCTCACCTCTTGCTCCTCCATCATGGTGCACAGGTGAGGAACAGATCCTGCCACAACATGCACCTCCCCCTGCTGTCCCCTGCCCTCCTCCAGCTCCTTGTGCTCCCTGTGCCCCAGCACCAGTTTTCTTTGGCCTGCTTCCCTTCTCTTCTTTTTCTCAAGGGCTCACTTTGCTGGAGCAGCCTCCCAGGTAGTGTATGTCAAACTTCCTTCCCCCAAATAAACCCCATGCCCCACCAGGTTCTGGCTGTAATGGTCAGACACTGTTCTGTGCCCTTCTCACTGGAGTCTGGACTGTGATACTTTCTGGGACAAGCCCTGCCCGCTGTGTGGCCTGATGTACACTGAGGCTATCGAAATCCTACTGGTGCGGGGTGGTCCTGGGCTTCCTCCTTCTGATACCTAGGCCTCCCGCTCCCTGCATGGAATGGAGGCTGGATCTCCTGCCCCCAGTGCTCCCCATGTCCTCCATCAGGAAGAGGCTGTCCCTTCCCTCTGTCCAGGACAGGGATGTGAATGATTAACTAGTTAACTAGAAAGCCTCGCTCTTAATGGGTGAGGCTCACGGTTCTGGTTAACCAGTGGGAGCTGGCACAGCTCCCTGCCCAGGCAGAGCAGCCCCTGGCTGCCCCCTCCCCCACCAGCCTCCCTTTAATTAAACAGTTCAACAGGATTTTACATCCTTAGTCCAGGAGGAGGCGCCTGTCCCTGTAACTGTACTTGAGCCAGCCTGAATCGTTAAGCACACCCATATCTTCGAGTTGTGTCTGAAGCAATGACTCAGTGACCCATTTAATTTCCCAGTGACGCTGACGGTGCCCCTGACTGGTTTGGAAAGTTTTCCAATGCTCTCCTCTTAGCACAGAAGCTCACAGCTGGTCTGATTGTTTTGCACACTGGTAAGTCCCTGTTGCTTTTCAGTGCTGATCCATGAGCTTTCAGGGCCCACTCTGGTTCCTGCACCGTAGCAGGGCAGTGTCGTCCTGTGGTTAGAGCCCAGATAGTTGGAAGAACTTGCCACTAAGTCTGGCTTTGCACTGAGGGACCTTGGGCAGGTCTGTGCCTCAGTTTCTCCACCAGCAAAACGTGGGTAACTCTTGCCTACTTCTCACTGAGGTGAGGCTGTTTGGGAAGCGCCTCCTGATCCTTGCATGGAAGGCAGGGTGCAGTGGCATCCGTTCAGGCTAGAGGCTCTCGTCCCTCTGCGGAAATAACTAAAATCACGTCCGTCTCTCTCCTCAGTCTTTATATCCATCACCCACGTCCATCGCACCAAACCGCTGTGGAAAAAAAGCCCCTTCACTAACAGATGGTGGACGCTGACTGTGGGTGTCGTGTGAGTATCATCCAGTGCTGACTAGCACAGGGAGGGGCAGAGGCTGCCATTACAGACGACAGGGGGGGCAGGGCCTGTCTTTGGCTCAGCAGGCTCCTGCCAGCTCCAGACACTTATCCCAACTCTGCACAAAGATTCCTATGAGATCAGTGAGCACTTTGGGAAACATGTTCTGCAGTGGGGGATGCAGGACACTGGGGCTACTTTGAGCCTGTCAGTAGGAAGATATGTGCCTTGTGGCAGGAGCAGGCATAGTTGGGCCTGAGCCCTGCATCGCTGGTCCCAGGAGGTGTGTGAGCATGTCTGAGCCTTGCTGTCTCCATTCATTGAATTAGGTTGCTGGGACAGGTGATGCAGACGGCTCTGGATCTGAAGCTGTGGACAAACGTCGCCTCTCCGTTAACCTTTCACGATGTTCACATCTCCCTGGTCTCGTGGCTCTTGGGTTTCCACTCTCTCATCCTCGTGGTGATTGTCAACGAGATCGTCAAACTCCACGAGATCCGGTAAGGGATGGTGGTGAGAGGGGAGCCTGGCAACCTGGCCCAGCCAGGGCTCAGGACCCGCCCCACACTGCCCAGGACCCGCCCCACACTGCCCAGGACCCGCCCCCACTCCGTCCCCTTGCCTCTCCTCCGAGCAATGGAAGCGGGGGGATTACCAGGGGCCTGGCGTGGGACAGCAGCATGGGTTGCTCACTCACCACGCGGGCTGGAGCAACCCAACAGCCTGCTCTGCCTCGCCACCCTCTGGTTCCCCGCAGTGGTGGGAAGCACAGTGCTCTGGGGTCAGGGCACTCTGCTTCCCGCTGCCGTGGGGAAGTGGGGTGCAGTGGGCCGGGATAGTGCAGCACGGTGCAGCAGGGTGAAGTAGGCTGCTGGATCACTTGGGCTCGAGTGGGGGAGGGGAGGTGTCCCCTGCTGCCACCCCAAGCCAGAGCCCTGTAATCCCCTGGGTCCCGCCTGTCCATAGAATGGTTGGAGCAGCTGCCCCAGGGCCCCCCAAAGTGCAGAGCCTGGGGCAGCCACCCTGTATGGTCCTATGGACAGGATAGCTCTGGGCCCAGCTCCTGGCTGGTTCTTGGGCTGAGCTGATGCGTAAGAGACAGCAGGGAGAATAACGTGGACTGTGTTGTAATGTCCGTTTGTAAGCGGCGTGCCTGCTCCCCCTCAGTGCGTGTGGCCGGCTGGCTGCGGAGTGCTCGCTGCCTGGGCTCTGGACAGTCAGGTGCCCCTGTTCTCTGGGGAGAGTTGCTCAGTGAGCTGCCCCTCTGCCCTAATGTGCTGCTCTCCTTTCTGCCCTCTCCAGAGTGCGGGTCCGTTACCAAAAGAGGCAGAAGCTGCAGTTCGAAACCAAACTGGGGATGAATTCTCCGTTCTGAGCCCCGCCAGCAGCAGTCCTGTGGAGATGCCGCGTGGGGCGAGGGGCGTACGCTCCCAGCCCTGCAGTCTTGACCCGTGCGGCGGGAGTGATGGCGCTGGAGGCTTTGGAAGGCTTCCCTTCCGCACCTGGACCCAGCAGGGCTCCTAGCCAAGCAGCAACGGAACCAAGAGAAGCCACTGCCGGAGCTGTGCCCGGGAGCAGGTCTGAGGCCCCTTGCTGTGCTCCAGGGGAGCGGGCGCTCTGGCTGCCCTGCAGGCTGCTGTTCCTTTTTAGTTATTTATTTTTAGTACCATGACGACCTTGAAATGAAGCAATTTCCCCTTGCGGATTCTTCTCCAGGATGAGCTGGGACCGTGCAGATCAGGGCCCCCGGCGGGGCTGCCAGGCCTGTTGGGAGAGGCGAGAGGATGATGGGGGGGAATCCAGGGCTGCTGGCGTAGGAGATCCCCAGCCACAACCCTCCTGCTAGTTTGCCCTTTTTCTTAAAGGATTTGATTTCGTGGGACTCCCCAGCTCCCATCTTGGCCGCCCTTCTCTGCGCTCCCCTGGGGCAGAGCCTCTTGTCTCCTGCAGCTCTGTGAGCGCTGCTGATCAGAAGCAGCCTTTCTCCAACGCGGGTTCTGCTCAAGCTCCCCAGCCCCACACTGGGTGCACATAGAAGCCTCCTCTTCTCTGTCTGCAGTGTCAGGCCTGCCCTCTAGTGGATGGCACCTGGAGAGAGGCATGGTCCAGTTGCGGGCTCCTGGGGTCCCAAACATGTGGAAGTGGGGATGGAGGCAGGTCTTTAAGCAGAGTTTGTTTGAATCCCGCAATAGGGTCCTGGCCCTGCTTGTTTCAGGTGGAGAGGGAGTGCCCTTTGGGGATACAGCCAAAGCGCGCCAGCTTAATTTTCTCAGCCTGGCCAGCTTCCGCATGTTGCGGGGAGACTCCCTTAACGCTAGCCCCAGACAAGGCTGCTTTACAGTTGTCTCCCTCGTTTTGGTGGATTTCTGGTCTCTTTCACTGAGACTTGCAGATTACCCTGTCTGAGACCAAGGGCTGGGAGAGGATGGGGGTGTTTGCATCTGGCTAAGCGAAGCTGTCTGCCCCAGGAAAGGTGTCTGCAGTTGCCTTCGATTTCAGGGGCCCCAGCCTTTCCTGGAAGCAGGTGTGTTGTTGACAGGCAGGTCCAGCAACAGGATTTCCCTGCTGCTTGCGATTGTGACTGACAAGCAGGTTGGGAAACGGCTGCCTTCCCGATGCGGTGCTGTGGGATCATGTCCTTTTGTGCTAGTGTTTCAGAATATCCTCCTCCGAGCACCAGGTCCTCATGGCTTCTGATTATAGGAAAGTTGGTTCGTTAGTGAGTAGCTCTGCCATGCTGCGTCCCCAACCCCTCACCTACTGCCAGGGAAGCCCCCTGAACTAGGAAACAGTTTCATGAGGGGGCTTATCTATCCCCGCCACAGCATGTTGGCATGGATGCAGGCTACAGCGGGGGTAAAAAAGCCCCAGAGTAGAGAAGCCTGGGGTGGCAGAAGCCCCTTTGCACCTTTGCACAGAGCTGGTGCCAGCTCTGGCTGCAGACTGGAATGTGTGAGTCTGTTTAACAGACCACTCCCGCTGCTGACACTGAGCCAGTGATGGAATTTACTCCTTCCCAGACTTGGAGGCCAGACCAAGTCAGGCAAATCCTGGCTCCATCTGTGCTCCCATAGTAACGTCACAAAACACAGATGTCACCTTGGGCCTGGAGCAGAGAGGAGTAGCTGTTGATCATTTCCTGACAGATGGGGAAGGGTGGAGGATCCCAAGCCAGTTCCCTGGTGCTCCACTTTGTCAGCCTTGTGTTTCAATGAGAGCAATAATAAAACCATGGATGATCCACAATATCCAATGTGAAGTAAACAGCCCCACTGTCCCAAATAGGGGGTGGAGGTGAGAGAAGGGGTGTTTGCACATGCAGGCACCACTGTGTGAATAAATACACTGGAATAGCTGGGGTGTGGTTTTGTGAATGAGGGGATGGGGTTAGTGGGCAGTTCTGCTCTGGTCCTTAGCAGTCTGTCACTGCTAGCATGAACTTGGTCAAATATAGTAAGTGAAGGAGACTCTGCCTTTCCAGTGCAGTCTAGCCCATGCCTTCACTACACTGGGGAATTGCACCATGTTAGACATATGCATTGGTAAGCATGATGCTAAACAGGACTTGGCATCTGGTACAGACAGGAACAAAGAATGTTTTAAAATGTGTTGGCTGATTCTGGGAGAATCCTGGAGTTCACCATGTTTGAACACAACTGTATTTGTCCAGGTTAAGGGCAAAATCATGCCTAGTATCATGTTAACTTTCTAGTTGTTCTGGTTTCCCAATGTAGTCAAGGCCCAAAGGGGGCAACCGAAGGGAACTAACGAGGACTTTGAAAAGATTCGTCTGCATCCCCAAGCACAGAGTGCAGCCACGATTAAAGCCCTCACGTCTGCAACGCTGTCAGGCTTGCATGGGATAACCACGCTAGGCAGCGGAGAACTCTGATCCATGGCCATTAGGTAAAGCAGAGTTTTCTGTGGTTCCAGCCTGAAGTGTAACCAGGTAAAACCAGCCCCTTCATTCTCTGTAGCTGTCTGTCTGCATGTAGCCAGTCACGTGTGCTCACTTCCCAAACCAGACTAAGCCTTCTACTGTTTTTTACTCCTTTTAGGCCTGCAGGGCTGAGAGAGCTCCAGGAGAGTGAGTTGGAGCTGGCCCCAGGGCACATGTTTAACTAAATTCCAGTTGCAAAATTGGTGATGCCTGAGACAGCAAGAACCCAGCTTGGTTTTCAGAGCTCAATGTGAATTTGCAGAGTTGGCAAGTAGGAAAAAAAATCTCCCTTTCCTTGCAAGCTGAGCTGATTTGAACAAGAGTCAGATGCAAACATGTTATTCTCCCAGAGCCCCCCTTAAAGCCGCAGAGGTCTGTTTTCAAGGATCTGAGCACTTAGCTTGTTTCATAGCATGATTTTACAGGCAGCAGCTGCCAAAGTTCAGAACTGGCCTGTCCGTTTTCTAGACCCTCAAGGGGGCGTGTCCTGTAGATTTCCTTTTCTGTGGTAATCACTTTGAAAATAGCTCTCTTGGCACTCTCTCCCCTTCCCCAGGAGCCAGAATATTAGAAGAATTGAGCCTTCTTGGTAGTCATCTTTCTGCATAGACCTGGTCACCTCACACCTTCTCCCCCCTTAGCAAGCCAGGGTTTCAGAAAGGCATGAGTGCACGGCTTTGGAAATGAATTTCCGACACCGAAATGTTTTTAAATGGTGTATATTTTATATTGAAAATTAAAACTTTTTGGATGTATGTAAAAAAAAATTTGATTTGTATTAAAACTTGTAAATTGTGTAAAAAAACCACAAGCCCCCAATGTATGAATGGCAATAAATGATTGTCTTTGATACTGTGTATGAAGGGGAGGGAGCTTATTTTCAGTTGGCTCGGGACACTAGTGAGAACTTTCATGCTGGAAGGGGGGGAGGCTGGGCTGGGCACCATCCCCTCTGAGAAACTGATTCATCTGTTGAGGGAGGCAGTGGGCCTCTGTTCTGCAGAATAATCCTCTCTTTGCGCTGTGAGCCAGTGGCATGAGAAGTGCTAGGCCCTGTCCCAACTACAGCTGCAGTAATCAGCTACTCTAGTAAGGAACTAGAGCCATGTGTGGGAGAGATGGGCAATCAGCCCTTGCAAGACTTTGGTAATGCCTGAAATATGTTGGTCCTGGGTGAGAGGTGCTTCAGTGGTGTTGGAGCCAAGTAGCAGATGGTGACGAACCGGCTGGAGCGGAGTCAAGTGGGCACTGAGAGTGGAGAAAAATAGATTAGGAAGGACCAAGCAGGGTTGGGCTTAGATAGGGAGGAAGCATTTTCTTGAGAAAATGTGACTAGAGGGTCTAGAGAAGATGAGACTTGTTTTACTGTTGCATAAGTCAGCATTAGATGGGGGAACGGAAGCCCGGAGTTCTGGCTTGCAGCCCAGTGTTCTAGCCATCAATCCTTTCCTTTTCACCACTCCACACTGCTAACATGGAAGGCCAAGTTTTGTCCCTGGAGACACGAGCAGAGCGCGCAAGGGGACAGTATCGACACAACTGAGTCAATAAGGCAGAACTGTCAAAGGGGAAAAAGCCCCACTGTTTAATAGAATTAAGTCTTAATTGATGTTAGTGGAAAACAAACTGCATGATTAACACAAATGGTCCAGATGGTTTAAAATCTGTCAGTCTGGTGCTTACGTGGACTATTTTTCCCCCTGCCTATGAAGAACACGGGTTGGTTAGACACGGTCATGCCCGCATATAATTTACACAGCATACAATATCTTTAAAATAAAGATCTAGAATTTTAAAAATAAGCATTCCTCTGAGAGAAAAACAAATATGTAATTCTGTTATTGACAGTAAGAACAGCACTCTGCTGCCCCATGTGGTGGCTCAGTCATGTGGCTCTACCCCAGTGTCTTTTATCCCTGTCCCTAGATACCACCACTTTGGAATCTGGTTAGTAAATATATAATCACATTTAAAATATATACATTTTGTCTTTAAAAAAACATTTACAGTTTATCAACATTGAAAAAGTTGGACTAGTCCCATATCAACTCATTGGACATGAAAACCCCTTGGTAAAAAGGTTTCTTTTTAAACCTTTTTGTAAAGTGCCACTGGCTGCAGCTATTTTAAAAAGTTCATTTTGTAGCACTTGCCATTTCACACATGGAGATTTTTCAGGCAACACTATGTATAAAATACAAAGAGATTTGACTAGCTGGGGTCAAGGTGGGTTAGCATCAAAACTACCGCCAGACCTTGCTGACTGACAAGTTTTGTTTTTACACAGAAGTCAAGATAGCATGAGTTCCATCTCTGGCCAGTAGAGATCATGGTACAAATGGTTACCACACAAATGAGTAAGTCACTGAGAAATAAGTGGTCTGGGGTGAGTGGATTTTACACAGAGCTGCTCTCTTTCCAGTGCAGGGAGAGTTGAAGCTGTAAACTGTCTAATACCAAAGTAAGGTGAGGTGCAAATTTCTCTGTGGATGGGGAAGGCAGCTGCTTCTTCAGTCACCTTCATCATTTAGCTTTAATTTTATAAAGGTAAATTTGCTTGGTGGTTTTTGCAACAAATGTGCAGTTTAGTGTGAAATGTGTAATTTTCCCTTTTTCTTGCTCTGGTGCATTCACTCGTTTGGCATTTCAGGTAACCCCATACGGGTCGTTCAAGAAAAAGTTGTTAAAGCAATCCAGATATAACTGCGGCTAAGAATGAAAAAATCAAGGCTCCTGTTCCTTTGCTTCAGCTCTTCAATTGACAGTAGCTGTTGGGGTGCTAAAACTAACATAGTGCAGTGAAGTCGTTTCTAGCCCCATTCTTCTAGAAGCTGCTCAGTGTTTAGTGGGGGTAAGAAACATGTCCCCCCAGTGCTGCTAGCTTTGCTTCCAACTCAGCTCGGAGGCTTATTCCGGGTCTATCTCCCTGCTTGGAGTTGGGCTTGAGCGGGCATGTGGAAAGAAGAGAATGTGTGTGTTTGCCACAAAATGACAACCTGTTCCTGCCCAAATGGCTGGCTTTGCAGTATCGAAGCAGGCAAAGGGTGCTGACAGGGATCGCCTACAGTCAGAGCCAGCAGAGGGCGCCCTCAGCAGTCGCAACATGCTCCAGCCAGACTGTCCTTGACTATTCCAGTACATGCTCTTCCCAGTCTTGGCCATGCCACCTAAGAATGAATCCAGGCAGGAAGTCTGGAGAGATTGTAATTCCTGACACAACTGTTGTGAAGTACTGAGCCTGTTTGCTCCTTTATGGGGTAGAGACTGTGCCAGCTCTGAGGGCCCGGCTGTGGGGATTTAAATCCACTTGGATTACACGCTGCCTTCCACTGACATGCTTAAGAAGCATCAAATAAAGCAGGAAGGTTTCTTCTCACCCTGAGAGCTGCCAAGCTGCAACAAGTCCCGTCTTATTTTGGTGGCTTGATAATGTGCAGTCCCGGCAGGGCCTAAGTGCTTGGCTCTGCTGTGCCTGCCCAAGGAGGTCCTCTCCCCCAACACGTTGGCAGGGTTTAAATAATAAGCTGCAGGACTTCGCCCTGGGGCTAGTGAGCAAAAGTCCCTTGAGGAAACTTTGTGTGGGGGTTGGAGGAAGAGGAGCTCTTGGCAGCTATCAGCTGAGCTCAATTCGTGGGGGTGGCTGGACTCCCAGGCGTGTGAACTACTGCACTCACTCAAACTCCAGCAGCATCAGGACCAATCATTAGGGTGGAAAGGTGCAGCTGCCTCTTCCTTGTGCTCATCTCTTGCAGCTCCAAAGAGTCGTATAGGAAATGCCACTGGGGCTGAGACCAGGCGGCTGGGTCTCCAGTCCATTGGGATGGCCCAGGAGAGGTGAGGGAGGTGCCTGCTCCCAGCCATATAAAGTGCAGGAGGGAGAAGGATGAGAGTAGCTGTAGTGACCCCTGGGCAGAGTAAAGGGGCCATCCTCCTTCTCGCATTAGCACAGCAACTGGGGCTCAAGTCTCAGTCCAGCATGGCATCCAGCTGGTCAGCCAGGTCATCAAACATGTTGCTGATGTCTTCCAGGATGTTCTTAGCCAAGTGACTGAGGGGGAAAGAACGAAAAGGCAGGTTGGGTATGGTCATGTGATGAGCAAAGGCCTCGGCGCCCTGTGAAGCCAACAATGTCGGGCACTCCACTGCCTCCCCCAAACCAAGGTGCACGTGGGGCCCTGGGCTCAGCTTAGGAATGGGGCTGGCACACGTGGGCCCCACCACACAATGGAGGAATCTTAAAGAACTGACCCACGTGGTTCTAGGCACGCTGGAGAATAAATGGCTAAGGAATAACTCCCCCTCCCC